TGGGTATAGTCTGTTAACATTTAAAGTGATTATTTACATACTGTAACTGTGCAAGACCTGAGGGAGCCAATGTCATGGTTGGTGGGATCTCACTCATGTGCTACAACTGCAATTGTAGGACATGACTCAGGCTCAGGGTTCAACAATAAAAGTGTTTATTTACAAAGGAGAGAGAGCGAGATTGGGGAAAAGGAAAGTGTCAGAGGCAGGTACAGAAGCAATAGCAATGGTTTAAAGGTCTTTATGAAGTTCTCTACAAAGATCTTTGTGAAGTTCTCTGCAGAAGTGTCATCATAGTAGTCAGCAATAGCAATCCAAAGATCAGGTTGTGCAACACTGAAAACCAGATTGGACAGCACCAGATTGAAGACACAACCTTCCAGAACATAGAGCCGAAGCAGTACTAAGAGGGGAATAATAGCAATCCGGGTCCACAACAAAATAAGAAAAAGAAGAAATAATTTTGTCTCTCATCTCAACAAGGGCAATAACAAGAGGGGTGGTGTTAGACATTACAGAGGAAAAGACCAGTGTTATAGTTATGTTAGGCATAAAGCCAATGTCAAACAGCTCTTTAAGGGACATCTAGCATAGGGCCAACAAACATTTAGCAGGCAATGCTAAATGGGCATTTAGAGATAGAGTCAGACATCTGTTTGAGAATGCATGGTGCCAACAGACAGGGTTCAGTGTTACAACTCAACAAAGGTTTTCTGGATGAATCTGATGACCTGACTGGTCCCTTTAGTTGATTGGCACCTATGGGAGCTCCAATCAGATTGGTCCACATACAATTCCAGCTATTTGCATAACTGAACCCTCAGAAACAGGTTGGACTTTATAATTCACCAATAGGATCTGGGGAGGTACCAATTCCAGCCATTTGATTAGTGCTGGTCAAGTTCCAAATCAAATATGTCCATTTTCAAGATCCTGGAGCCTGATATAAAAGAGAAAAAGACTGGACCTTCATTGATGTCAGGGCAGACTCCTGTACTAGAGGACTCCAAGGAACCATGGCTAGAACCAGTCTCAATTTGGCCAAAGGCAAACTACATGTCTCTCAGCAGGGCTGGGCATAACCTATGGAGCCCTGCTTCAAGGGCCCTCCTTCAATTCCCCACTTTCATTTATATCACCATTTATATAATAATTATTTGGTAAGCCTGTTGTTTTTCATCATGGAAACCTTACTCAGATATCTTTTCCCTCCCCACTTGTGAAATTACATTGCATTGAAAGCCACATCAATAATGTTACAACATTTTTCAATTCAAAGCTCATGATGATAAGCTAGTTTATTTTTCTATTCATTATATTTTTTTCCTTCCTGACATTCTAAGATTTTATCATTTTCTCTGTTGAATTTTCTTTAGCTATTTTAAAGCTAGGTTGGAAAGCAACAAATTCTCTAGCTTTCCTTCATGCAAAAATGTCTTCATTTGTCCTTTATTTTTGACAAGTCATTTTTCCAGTTAGTGGATTTCCTGTTGACAATTCTTTTACAACTTAGGGGTGCATCCTTTCAAATAATTATTTTCTTTCTGCTGTTCAGGTTTAGTAAGTTCCATTAACCTATTCTCAAGTTCACTGATTTTATCTTCTGTCCGCTCTACATTAGTGCTGAGCCCATCAAGTATTTTGTTCTTTTTATTTCTGTGTCTTTAAGAGTACTTATTCATTCTTCCATTTCATCTATTCTTCTCTTATTGCTTTTCTCAGAGTTCTTTAGCTCTTCCATTAATCCTTGGAACTCTTGCATTTCTTTCATTTCCCTCTTTAGGGACTCAATTTCATTCTTTCAGTCACTGATTATTTTTCCCTTATTGTTGATTATTTTTCCCATATCATTTTTGACTTTTTCAGTTTTTTAGTTATGGCAACTTTAAATTCTCTATCAGGAAGACTCATGAGTTCCTCTAAGTCATGATGTTGTAGTCTGGTGTTTGATTGTCTCTTTGTGGTGTGTCTTTTCCCTGGGGACTTGCTTGGTTGTTTGTAATTTTTCTTCTCCCTGCTGCTTATTTTCTAATTTGTCCTATGCATTGGGACACTGTGTCACTGGTACTGGCTGGCATCTCTTTGTTGTGCTCTTTCTGGAATGTCAGAAACTGGTGGTCCAATTGAGTCCAATACTGTTATGCCAGAAGTCCAGTAGGGTAGTGGTACTATGGATATGTTAATGGTCTCTGTCCCAGAAAATCTTCTCCTTCTGTATTTCTGGATCGCCTGCAGGCTCCAAAACACCAGCTCCTGCTCTGGGCTCCAACTCTTCCAGGCAGAGCCTTACTTGTGGGGGGCTTCAGCTCACCTCTCGCTGTGGGGACAGCCCTTTCCTAGTTCCACACAGTCTTGGTGGGTTCCTGACACATTCTGGACACTATTGACACATTTTAATTATAATTAATTATCAAATAATTCCAACACAGATTTACCTCAGTGTTGGCATAAGTTAATAGATCAATTTTTCATATGTCAAGTAATATTTTGCTGGTTCTTCATATGGTGGGTAACTTTTAATTGAATCTTAAACAATTTATCTATTATGTTAAGAGACTCTAGATGCCCTTTAAATTTTCTATTTTACTAAGCCATTATATTTTTTTCTCATACCTCTCTTATTTTTTTAATTTTTAAATTTTCTATAGTTTTAACATCACTTTTCATTTTTGCACAATGTATGCATTTTCATCTTGTGTATAGTCCCCATAAAATTCCCATCATATATATTTTTAAAGATTTATTTATTTATTTATTTATTTGAGCACTGGATACAGTCAGAAGTGCAGGAGGGTGAGAGAATTCACCAGAGCCAGAGCAGGGAACAGAACAGGCAGACTGACGAAATACACTGATGAGGGGAGCAGTGGGTGTGGCAGGAGAGGTCTGCTTTCCATGTGGGACCCTCACTGGCGGCCGGGGATCGAACCAGTGCTGCAGAGGCTGCGGGCAGCTTCACAGCCCAGCGCTCCACCGCTGCGCCACCAGGGGAGGCCCCCCATCATATTTTTTAAGCCTAGCACTAGGGACCCTGGTCTGTTTTGCTAGTTGTGCTCCAAGGACAATTTAATTTTTACAGTCTTTACTTTATATTTGATATGCTTGGTTTATTTGGTGATGCTAAGGATATCATTGATTTTTTATAGTGCTACCTGTTTGAATAGAAGGTTCTCCCCAAAGTCAGACTCCATAATATCTCTTGGTAAGAGAGGGGAGACTGACCAATAGATACAAAGAACTTTTTACCTAGCATTTTGTCAGTGGGTCTCCTGCTCAATCATTTTTTAGGTTGCTCTGGGCATCTCAGATACCACTGGAATTGTCAGTGATCTAGGAAGCTAAGTTTCACTGGAGAGCCTTTTGTTACTATGTTGGAGAGTAGATTATAAGATTTTCTTTTTTTTTTTTTAAATTTATTTATTTATTTATTTATTTATTTATTTATTTATTTATACAAGCACTGGGTACAGCCAGAAGCATGGGAGGGCAAGAGAATTCACCAGAGTCAGAGCGGAGAGCAGAGCAGGCAGACTGACAAAGTACACTGCTGAGGGGAGCAGCGGGCGGCAGGAGAGGTCTGTGTGCCATGTGGGACCCTCACCCAGTGGCCAGGGATCGAACCGGCGCTGCAGAGGCTGCAGGCAGCCTCACAACCCAGCGCTCAACCGCTGCGCCACCGGGGAGGCCCTATAAGATTTTCTGTTGCTGTGTTTTTCTTTCATTCCTGGATCCCTAGTTAATCCATTTTAAAGTTCTCCTAGATTTGCCTCTTTAATATTTCCAGGGTTTATAATTTAAATTAGGGAGATTATCAGGGAAACATATTTCTACAACATGTTATCTGAACCCCTTTCTGTAGTGCTGATACCATCATCCCGTCTTTTATTTATTCACTCAACAATCATTTATTAGACTTTGTGCACTAATCTAGATTTTCAGGAATATCAGAATATAACATATGGAGGGAATTTTTCTTTTGGAGTTGGGAGATTGGCCACAAAAATAAATCATCAAATTAATATCACCAATGTAGGATTCACTAATTTATTTCCCAAGTAATAAGTTAAAAGGTCAAGCTACGCATTCCTCAGTCTCCACTTAAGGCTTTAGAATCAAACACTGAAATACCTTCTGTTGCTGGTATTCCCTTTATCATACACTTTCTCATCTTCTTCCCTTCTTTCCCCTCACCTGAATAAATTCAGTGGTAGCATATTGGGCATTCTTTGGAAAATTCTCTTATCTGCATGTCTGGTTAAACTCACTGGCTGAAAGTCAGTAAAGAGACCTTCAGTGTTATACTGCCTCTGTGTAATAGTCTGCATTCCGTGAATTAAGTCATTCACTTAATGGTCTGCCTCTACACTTCCTAATGTCCTTTCTCATACCTTATATCCCTTCTTGATCATCACAGTCCAGAATACTAAATACTCAGCTAATATGTTGTCTTAGTCTGCTAAATCTGCTATTAAAAATACCATTGATTGGGTGGATTAGCAACAGAAATTATTTCTGACAATTCTAGAGGTTGGAAAGCACAATGTTAAGGTGTTAGCCAATGAAATTACTGATGAGACCCTGCATTCCTGCCTTCCAGACAGTTGTCTTGTCACTGTCATTCAGTCCATACTATCTGTCCTTAAACACATCATGATGTGCTTGTTTTCTACACTAGGTGATCTATAGAACCTTACATTTAGCATTCTTCTTCCTATCCTTAACTCTTCCACATATAAATCTCCTATTTATCTCACTATAGGGTGCAAATGACACCTTTAAGATGTGACTTCCCTGATAATTACACTCTCCATAGGTGTTAAAATCATGTTATCTAAAAGGGCTTATAGCACTTTTATAACTGTATATATATATGAAAGAAAGAATGAAGAGGGGAGGCTGGTAGGGGGTAGTATATCTATGAGTTTCATGAATTCAGCTCAGAATACCTGTAGCCATTAAATATGATCTTTGCTTACAACATTTCCCTGTTTTCTTCCCAGCACCTGGCTCAGCTCTTCTCATTTCTTTCATGGACTATGTTGGTGGAGACATCCAGCTGCTGTGCAAGTCCTCAGGCTGGTTCCCTGAACCCACAGTGAAGTGGAAAAGTCCAAAGGGACATGATTTACCCTCAGACTTGAAAGTGAACACAGATGTGCATGGCTTGTTTGATGTGGAGACCGCCTTTATAGTCAAGGAAAATTCTGGAATCATATCAATTTCCATACAGCAAAATGAAGAGAAACAAGGAGTGGAATCCAGGGTACAGATAGCAGGTAAGTGGGGAGGGTTAGGAGTGAGGGAGGAATGGATACTAAGTAACTCAGAGAGAGACTAGGAGGCTTAACCACAGGTTATTATGTAGTATTGTCCAGTTGCAGTGGTTAGTTTTGAAAGTCTAAGGTCATTGAAGTATAAAAATGAAATAATAGTTTTTTATTGCTTTTAATTTTGTGTATATATTCTACATCATTCTTCATTTTTGTAAAAAAAAAATAATGAAATCATAAACATTTTATTAGGTAGAAACAGAATTGTTTGCCATTCCAGAAGAGTAAGATTAAGTTTTTTCCTTCATCTCATGAGCATCTTCGTTGTGCAGCCCTCCAAAATCACATGTAGAAAATTTAAGAAAGCTAACTCTAGGAAAGAGAAAAAATGCCTACTCATTAAAAAAATTTTATTCAATAAATAGTAAAACATTATTCTATAAAACATAATAGATTAAAAATATTTGAGGAAATATTTTAAAATAACAGGATAATATAAGCCCAAATATGTTATCCCATGATGTGGACAGAGTTGGGAGAGGGAGGGTAGAGCCACAAACACTGCAGTGCCAGAATGCATAGCCATGGCTGCTTGTGTGGAGCAGGGAGTAGGCTAAGGAGGGCCAAGATGAGTCAGTGATGGGTTTCAAGCTAGAAATGTTGATTTTAGATCACACAATAGGACAAGTGTGGCAAGTACCCCAAGCCATACTCAGCCTGAGAGCAGTGGGTATCCAGATTTTATGAGGTTGATTACCAGATCAAGGTAAAAGGATGCAATGTCATGGTGGGTTTTATGCTGGGGTACACTGGGACTGGGACATTCACAAACCTACTTTTTTATAACTCACATGACTAATTAGTGTCTTAAGTCTCCACCCAGGGGTATATGTGTTAGCATGTTAATACATCCTTGGTCACGTTTAGGTCAGGTCTTCTGACATTTGCATCTGCATGGTCATCTTGTTTCAGTTGGTTCTGGAACTTTCCTGAAAACAGAAAACCTCTACAAGATGGAGGGTATGTTTCCACTAGTGAGTGACTTACTGGAGTTTTGTGGAATTCCTATCAACCTGGAGACTCAACAGTAAGACGGTTAGACAAACAAGGTCTAGGTACAAGAGGTCCTATAACAACATTTCTAGAACTACCGCACAGAGTTGAAGAACACCCACACGCTTTGCCCTCCTGAAACTAGAACCATGGTTTGACTTTGAATCCTGCAAATTCTCACAGTATTGTGTGGTGAACAAAGGTTGCTTTCTCACCCTTGGAAGAAATGGGAAGTTCAGCCTTCACTCACTACAAAACTTGCCCAACTTACCTTCAACTGCTTGCATACTACAGCCTAAAAGCACTACCTATTATAAGGAACATCAACTGCTGGATAAGCACAGGGATGATACACCTGAGTCTGCTAGCAGCTAACATAGCCTCCCTAAAAGTACCCACTGCTCCCTCACTTGGACTTCCAGGGCTTCCCTTGATTTTGAACTCACTGAAGACTAGTGAGCACTGTCTACTACAAAGAGTGGGTGGGAATGGGTGGGTGGGAATTAAGCCTACACATCTAGGGCTACTGCCTGCAAGCTAAATGTCCTGGAAGACATCCAGCCCTCCCCTACAGCCTCTTGGGCTTGGCTTCCTCTCTGCTGCTAGCTCACCACAGTTAGGCAAGCACTGATTCTTTACCTTCCTGAAAGAAAATTAACAGCCTGGCAGGCAAGAAGCTACCACACCTGCGCTTGCAAACTGCTAGTTTGGTGGTCCTGAAAGACACCCCTTCCTCCCTTCCCCAAAGTTCCCTGAGCTACTAGTATACAACATCTGGAGAGAGGCTGCTAATATAAGGAACACTGAGTACTGAGCAGGTGCTGAGTTGACACACCTAAGCTGTTGACAGCTAGTTTAGTAGTTGCAAAAGTAACCTGATCCTCCACCACCCAGACTTCCAAGCTTTCTCCTTCTTTTTTAAAGGTTTATTTTTATTTATTTATGCATACAAGAACTGGGATGTAGGCCGGAGATGCGGCAGGAGAGAGCATTCACCAGAGACAGAGTAGAGAGCAGAACAGGGAGAGCTACTGATATACACTACTGAAGGGAACAGTGGGGTGAGATAGAAGAGGTCTGCTGTGCTTTGTGGGTTAGCTCCCTGACTAGGGATCAAACTCAGGCCGCAGCAGTGATAGCACTGAGATTTAACCCCTAGGCCACCAGGGAGGCTCCCCAAGCTTTCTTGACTGCTAATCTACTGAGGCAGATGAGCATCACTTCTCCCCAAATAGAAAACTGACCTCTAGTTGAACAGGGGGTGGACTTATTTGGGGCTACTATTTTGGCTTCCTGGAAAGCACTGCTCCTCCTTGATCTTGACTCCAGGGTTTCCTTGAGTGCTTTCTCTGGGAATCCTAAGAGGCACTCGCCTCACCTGCCTGGACTTCAGGACCTCTAGCAGCTCCTAGTTTACCTTAATGAGATAAGCTCACATCTCAAAGAAATTACAGATTGCTGAGTGGGCATTAAGCTAATGGTGCCTGAGTCTACTGAAGATTAGTTTGGTAGTCCTGAGAAGCACAAGTCTTCTTCCTCTCTGGCTGCACAGACAACTGAATTGCCTAACTACTGTGCAATCTGAAAATTCCCAAGGTACTTGCTTGCAGTCCAAGCCCACAGACTCCCGACACTTTGCTTATGCAAGAGTCTCAGGGAAGAAGCACTTCCAGTAAAACCTGCTGAGATCAGAACTAGGCTATAAGGCAAAAGGTCAGAGCCTGGGGCTCTTGGGAGAGCTCAAGGGGGTTGCCTTGAATAGCTTTGATTAGATGGTGATTGCATATCTTTCTCTTGACTTAAGCAACAGCAGCATTGAGGGAGTTTATACACTTGGCAATATAGTGAAACTACTTCTAAACCCCACATATCTGTGGCTCCCAGGCTATAAGATGGATTCTTGGACCACATCCCATTCTGGCTCTTGAGCTCAAACCATCCTGATTGGTCATATGCTTTCAAACAGTACAACACAGCATGCACAGAAAGCATAGCATCCAAGAACATCTTAGGCTAGTAACCCATACCTACAATTCTTAAGACTATCACAGCAGAGCTAACAAAGAAATAAGACTGGTTTAAAATATGGAAATAATCACAGACCATCAAATAGAATAAGGAGGCTGAGGAATTCATCCCAACTGATGGATCAAAATCAATTTCCCAATAAAAACTTGGTAAAAATCCCTTGTACAACAGAATTAACCAAACTACTAGAAGAAGGCTTCAAAGCAACAGTCTTAATGATGCTCTTGAAATTAAAATAACAATGGATTTTTAAAAATGAGAAAATCAGTAAGGATAGAGAAAATATAAAAAAGATCCAAACAGAAGTCACAGAGATAAAGAATTCAGTGACTCAAAAATACAGTTGAAGACCTCATCAGTAAACTCAAGGAGACTAATGAAAGGATCCATCAGATAGAAGACCAGCAGAAAGACCAGCAAAAAGAGAAAAGAGTTGATAGAAATGAAGATGACATAAGAAAGATTTATAGGACAACATCAAGTGAACAGCATTCATATCATAAGGGGTTCCATAAGAAGATAGAGAGAAAGAAGCAGAAATCCTATTTGAAGAAATAATAGCTGATTTTCTTCTTAAGATTAGGTGCATGACAAGGATGTTCACTTTTACCACTACCTCTCAATACAGCTTTGGAAGTCCTAGCTAGAGCAATTAACAAGAGAAAGATACCAAAGAAATTCAAAGTTTAAAAAAGAAGTAAAATGATTATTATTTTCAGATGACATGATAGTATACTAAGAAAATTCTAAACACTCCACTAAAAAACTATTAGACAAAATAAACACATATAGTAAACTCAAAGACTACAAAAGCAACATACAAAAGTCTGTTCCACTCTTATATGCAACTAATAAACAAAAAGAGAAAGACATTTTTAAAATCCCATGTATAATAGCATCAAAAACTATTAAATAAACATACACTTGAAGGGTATGAGCATATACCTTTAAATAATATACATTGTTGTAAAACAAAATTACTAAAAGAAAAAGTACTCAATACCCTGAAATATACACAACAAAGGAGGGGAAAGTTCTATTCAATGAAAATTATAAGACACTGTTAAAAGAAATAGAATAAGACACAAGGAAATGGGATGATATTGCATGCTCACAAATTGGAAGAATTAACATGAATTGAGGATCCCTCTTACCCAAAGCAATATATAGACCCAGTGAAATCCATATCAAAGTTATTATGGAATTCTTCAAAGAAATATAAGATCATTACTTGTAATTTACATGGGAACACAAAACACCCTGAGTAGCCAAAGCCATCTTTAAAATAAAGAAGAGGAATGGTGGTATTACTCTCCTAGACTTCATAATATACTAGAGGGCTGTAGTAATAATAATAAAAAAAAAACTGTTGGAATAAAAATAGATATAGAGACCAATGGAATAGAATTGAAAGACTAGAAATAAATCCACATTTAATGGACAATTAATCTATGAACAAGATTCAAAGATATACAGTGGAGAAAGGAAAATATCTTTAACAAATTGTGCTGGGAAAACTGGACAGCCATATACAGGAAAAATGAAAATAAACTACTTTCTCATACCATAAACAAAAATGAATTAGTAATTAAATCCAAATGGATTTAACACTTTGAAGCAAGATCAGAAACCATAAAAATACATAGAAAAAACATGCAAAACACTCTATAACATTGGATCCAGAGATGTCTTCAAGGATTTGACTCCAAAGGCAAGGAAAGTATAAAAATAAACAAATGGGACTATATCAAACTAAAAAGCTTCTATACAGCAAAAGAAGCTATCATTAAAAGAAAAAAGACACCTTGCCAAACATGAGAAAATATTTGATCGCTCTGGTGCTTAAGCCCCTGCGCCACTGGGAGGCCCCCCATGAGAAAATATTTGAACACCATATATCTGACAAGGGGTTCATATCCAAGATC